GAATGAATCGACTATAGTTTGCATTTTTTCCTCTACATTGTATGGAGCAATTTTTTTTTTTTTAAGTGTAGATTTTTGACATTTGTGTTTTGGGCCTAATATGTATATTTTAAAATAGTAGCAGCATTTGTTTGCCCTAATGTCAAACTACAAACATCACTTATTGCATGGCTCTTTCATATTTTTGCATTTTTTGTCTTGTGGTGTCATTTTGTTGGAGAGAGGGGGTAAAGGAGGTTTTGTGGGTAAGGGGCTTGGACTTCCAGCAAGCGTGCGTGAGGGTGTTAGATAGGAGTGAATGGAGACGAATGGTACTTGGGACCTGACGATCTGTTGGAGTGTGAGCAGGGTAATATTTAGTGAAGGGATTCAGGGAAACCGGTTATTTTCATATAGTCGGACTTGAGTCCTGGAAATGGGAAGTACAATGCCTGCACTCTAAAGGAGGGGTTTGGGATATTGGCAGTTTGGAGGGATATGTTGTGTATCTCTATACGTATATGCTTCTAAACTGTTATATTCTGAGCACCTCTGCAAAAGCAGTGATAATGTGTGAGTGTGGTGAAAGTGTTGAATGATGATGAAAGTATTTTCTTTTTGGGGATTTTCTTTCTTTTTTGGGTCACCCTGCCTTGGTGGGAGACGGCCGACTTGTTGAAAAAAAAAAAAGTGTTTTTGGGATTCATAATAGCATAGTGGTGTGTGAGTGAGGTAACTTGCCTGAAGAGATTGAGGGGAAACCAATTAGCTAGACTTCAGTTCCAGAGATGGGAAGGGCAGTGCCTACATTCTGAAGGTTGGGTGAGAGTGATGTATTTTAGTGGGTCATTTGAATTGTGATGTCCATATATTTATAACGATATCTATTGAATGAGGGATGGTGAATGCTTTTTTTTTCTTTGGGTTACTCTTCCTTGGTGGAAAATGGTTGTGTAAAAAAGGCAAGTTGTAATGGAAATGGGAGAAGAATGGCTATATAGAGATCATAGACTACATGAGAGGCTGATCTAGGAGTACGTATAGGAAAAAATTGCCAGTGGAAGATCATATGAATGAAGTTATAAGAAACTCATATTTTACAATGACAAATTTGAAAAAAAAAATCTGACTTTGATGGCATAATGATAAGAAATCTGTTCAGAACATGCATTACATCGATATGATTATACATTACTAATGTGGTGTATACGTATGATTGACAAAGTGTAAAGAAGTGTTTCACAGTGCTTCCTTGAGTTAAGAAATGTACTACAAAGAAAGATTTAAAACAGTAAAAATGTCTTTATTAGTTCACCGAAGGAAATGAGACAAAACAATGTGTAAGATTGTAAGAGTATACATAGATAAAGAAAACTTTTTGGTTCCATTATCAGGGAGGCCAAAAATGTAATCTTAGGGAAAAAGTGGTCCTGAAAGGATGCTAGCAAGTTTTCAGTTACAGAGAATTAATGTAATATGGGAAGACGATTCAAGAAGTGTTAAGTGGTAGTATATGCTGGAATTAATAAAAAATTTTAAAATGAATACAATAAATATAACACTGAAGATTAGATAGGGGCAGTGCCAAAAATTTTTATACTGGGGCAGCGTAGGGGTTGCTAACTTGTTGAGCGGGGTAGGCCAGGAGACTTGTTTGAAGGCAGAGTTGTTGTTATTACTATTTTTAGGAGTTACTTTGGTGGTTGATCCCCCCCAAGTCCCTCTTGGTGCCACAACCGAGACTGACTACCATGAACATGACTCTAGTCCTGTAATTGCTACCATTAGATAATCACAAATGGATAATTATACAGAAAATTTGGAAATCATCAACTGTATTAGACTAAAAGGGAAGAAACAACAAAAATAGGGCATATAGGTACATGTGCCAACATTCTGCATCTGCCAGGTTAGTGTAGGTTCTACACATAAAACAAAAATGTCATTGTAGCAAAAATGTGGTGTAATGTTGGTGAGTGTGAACTGCAGTGGTCAAGTGAATGTGGTGGATTTTTGGGTGAGTGTGAACTGCAGTGGTCAAGTGAATGTGGTGTGATTGTTGGTGAGTGTGAACTGCAGTGGTCAAGTGAATGTGGTGTGATTGTTGGTGAGTGTGAACTGCAGGGGTCAAGTGAATGTGGTGTGATTGTTGGTGAGTGTGAACTGCAGTGGTCAAGTGAGGCTCTATGCTGCTTCTTTATCTTTGATGTGATATGAGTTTTCGTTTTATTTTCACCTTCAAGGAGGGGTTTGATGCTAGTGAAGGCTCTTGATCCATATAATTGGAGCAAATCCTATCATTCCTTGGATCAAGCCTGATACCTCTCATTTCCCAGGAGCTATATGCCCCTAGGGGTTTAGCACTTCCAAATGATTATAATAATTGTCTTGTTTCATCTGTTAGGATATTTTTTTAAGAATTTTTTATTTTGTTAAAATTCTAGATTTATGCCTTTCTCCACTAAATGTAAAAGCTTCTCCTCATTTAGCGATGTACTCTTTTTACCGACGACTTGGACTTACGATGGGCTCTCTGACCAGAATTGCATACCTAAAAAAATGTATATTAGAGCGATTTCTTCTATTCTGTTTATTACAATATACAGTACACTAGTAAAAAAACATTTAAAAATATACCAAAAATGTTACAAATGATGAAAAGGCAACATTTAAAACAATATCAGAGATTGTCGACATAAACCCAATACCATTATTGCATGCTTCTCACTTAGCGACGAATTCTTTTACCGACATGGTCTTAGGCATGGAACTCCGTCACTAAGTGAGGAGAGGCTGTAATGGACTTTTCCTCTGCTGGTGCTACAGAGGCATCTCCCAATAGTCGTATGTATTCAGACTATGAACTTGACTACTCAGTATTCTTAATACTGTACTTTTTTAATCTTTTGAAATTACCTACCAGTTTTCCTTAAAAAAATGAGTTGAGTTATGACCAATGTGTGCGTGTGTGTGTGTGTGTGCGTGTGCGTGTGTGTGAGCGTGTGTGTGCACATGTGTGTGTGTGTGCATGTGTGTGTGTGCACGTGTGCGTTTGTGCGTGCGTGTGCACGCATATGCGTGTGTGCGTGCGTGTGCACGCATATGCGTGTGTGCGCGTGTGTACATGTGTGCATGTGTGTGCGCCTGTGTGCGTGTGTGTGCGTGTGTGTGTGCCGTGTGTGCATGTGTGTGCATGTGTGTGCATGTGTGTGTGCGTGTGTGCATGTGTGTGTGCATGTGTGTGTGTGTGCGTGCGTGTGTGTGCATGTGTGCGCGCATGTGTGTGTGCACGTGTGTGTGTGCACGTGTGTGTGTGCATGTGTGTGTGCGTGTGTGTGCATGTGTGCGTGTGTGTGTGCACGTGTGTGTGCGTGTGTGCATGCGTGTGTGCATGTGTGCGCGTGTGTTTGTGCATGTGGGCGTGTGTGTGTGTGTGTGTGCAGTGCGTGCGTGTGTGCATGTGCGTGCGTGTGTGCATGTGCGTGCGTGTGTGCATGTGCGTGCGTGTGAGTGTGTGCGTGTGTGTGCGTGTGTGCATGTGCGTGCGTGCGTGCGTGTGCGTGCGTGTGCGTGCGTGTGTGTGTGCGTGTGTGTGTGCGTGTGTGTGTGCGCGTGTGTGTGCGCGTGTGTGTGCGTGTGTGCGTGTGTGTGCGTGTGTGCGTGTGTGTGCGTGTGTGTGTGCGCGCGCGTGCATGCATGTGTAGTAAAAAATGGTCAGTTCTTGTCTCCCACTTCTAACATCCTTCTTAACACACTAAACCTTCATTTTTCACTTGAATATGGTAGGCTTTATTCCTTCCTTGGTTAGTTGGCAGATTTCACCAGTGCATGCTTAACATAATTTTAATTTATTTTTCAGATTGAGGATTTCATAAGTAAAGGTGTTTTTAAAGTAATTAATGGCAATGTAAAATTATTGATTTTGTGTTCTCACACACAAATGCAAATGCCGGATTTCTTCTTCGTTACAGAATTATTCCGTCAATCATATCCAAGCACAGAATCTCTGCCTACAACTGTGTCTTCCCGCTCCAAGGTTTCCACCCAGCCCTCAGACCTGGAGCCCACTTATCCTCCCCTCCCTCCATACCCTCCCCCACCTCCTTCAACTTCTCCACCGCCTTATAGTTATGTCACTCGTGACCAATCCTTCGATGGTGGGAGTGGGGGATCATACCAACAACGGGATGGGGCCTCTTCCCCCTCCCAGCGTGACCGACCCCCACCATACTCATTTGCTCCACGTACCTTGCCCCATGACATGAATAAACCCCAACCAGCCCCTAGACACCAGTTCTTTAAGGCAGAGAGTTTGACGCTTGACCATGGGGCCTCTGACCGAGACTACCTCATGATACGAGAGCGCGCAGACAGGGGTGAATATCCTCTTTTGCTCTGTTACACTCTGGCACACTTATAATTTTGGCTTGTCACTGTAAAACAAGTTATTTAGCTTGCTACTGTAATTTACACCAGTACCTCCATCATCCAGGATGAGCTCAAGGCCATTATCACATCTATTAACATGAATTGATCAACTATGTTTATGCTTATTTCATTGTTTATGCTGGTATAAACCATGGAAGAAGCCCCTCTTGATGCATAAATTTGCTGATTAAAAATTTGGATAATCAGGTCCCAGATAATCCAGGTAGTGGTGTATGGGGAATAGATAAGGAGCAAGGGTGCATGCATTACCTGGAAAGCCAAATTCTAGTTACAGTATTAATAAATTTTCCTTTTGTTTAGTTTTCCCTTATGTTCAGTTGTAGTTCTTCAAGTTGGAAGATAAACTATGGCATCGCATGACTCTAAAGATAAAGAATACAGCTCAGGCGTTCTTCACATTGTGAAAGGTTACTGCAGTAAAACTATTGTATTTATAATACTAGGCTGTGCAGTATATATTTCTGTTAAGCTTATAAGTTATCCTCTAAAATGAATTTTATCTATTTAAATTACATTATAATTTTGTTTTTATATATTTTCATTATTTTTTTTTTTGTTGCTATAGTAACCCCATATTGTAATAATGTTGGTAGAATTACCAACAGTATGTTAGGTAAAAGGACACATGAGCAACTAATGCGACATTTTTGTTGTGGCAACATTTAACTAGGAGCTTTGTCAACCATTACAGCTTGACAAAGCTCCTGGAGAGTGAAATGTTGCCACAATAAAAATGTTGCATTCATTGCATATGTGTCCTTTTACCTAACATAATCCCATATTCTTGTGCTTTACTATTTTATTCTTAATCCATTATTCTCTACCAAGTTATCACTTGCTCTGGCTACAGTGTACCACTGTCTCTCTCTCATTTCTTAATTACTGTGCTGCCAATTACATCATTGTCTTTCATCACTTGCTGCTACTTGTCCAGTATTTCTCTCATTCACATTGACACTTGACATCTCTCTCTCCTCACATTATCTTTCATCACTAAACTGACATGTCTTTTTTTCAATCCCTGCTTATCAAATAAAAGTTTGACATGGTTATCAGACCAGGAAGTAATGTTTCCAGCTCCTTTTACATAACTGAGCCCTGTTTCAGGTTGGTAAAATAATGAGATACATATAGCTACATACCCACCCCTTTGTGCATACCTTAGATTTTGTTTGAAATAAAATATTATATATAAGAGCTTTCAAACTCAGGATTTATTTTCTTTGTGTTATCACCAATGATTGAGGTGAAGTGTAATCATACTGTATTTATCTGGTATACATGAATCAATGTTGCTTTGAGCATTGAGTTGTAGTAAATGTGCTGCTGTATTGTTCATTTAGATGATGTATGTGCTGCATGACACTACCTGTCTGTGTTTGCATGCTCATTATATTGTTTGTCTAATTGCAAACAGGAAGTCTAGATTATATTGTGTGTGCTGTAGTTAGTACTTCCACACTTCCCATCCACACATTGGTTTTTGCTCTCAAGACTGTACATACTGTAATTTTAACATGACATTTTTCTGGGCATTTGTTAGTTGCTAATGGATACATCATAAAAGATTTCTGTTTACCCATTAAATTACTAGCAACTCTTTTTTTTTTCTGTTGAAAATACTGCAAAATACATTATTTTGAGCTATGAAAAACTACTTTGTTAGGGTTAGAAATACAACTACTATAATATCGCTCCTTGTGTCTGTACTGAACCTTCCACTCACATTTTTAGCTCATACCTCCTGTTTTTATTCTTTAGTGGAAAAGCCCCATTTCTTACTACAGCTGTGCTCCAGCCACCCTAGCCTGCAGGTCTCAGGAAAGCTGATACGTAGCCTTAGTGCACTAAGTGCTATATCAAATTCTACACTAAAAGTTATTGTTCAGGAACCCTACAGAGAAAGTTATTGTTCAGGAACCCTACAGAGAAAGTTATTGTTCAGGAACCCTACACAGAAAGTTATTGTTCAGGAAGCCTACAGAGAAAGTTATTGTTAAGGAACCCTACACAGAAAGTTAGTGTTCAGGTTCTTTTGAACCACTTGGGAATCCTACCATCAGTAATGCTAGATAAGGGTGAAGTCAGCTGTTAATGGAAGGTGGGAACTCGGAGTACAGTAACATTTAAGAAACTGTTTAAATGAGTGATTTGAAAACCAAAATGCTATTAAGACTGGCCTAGATATGATTACATAGGATCATGAACAAAGCTATGACTGTGTTAGACAGAAAAATATTGAGCATTGCATGTATACCCAAATGTACTTAATGGGCCTTTTTGTAATTACAAAAAATGGGAAAGTGTGGAGGTGCATCAGTGTTGCATCATACAACTTAGACCCAGCCTATGAAGAGCTTGTTTGGTACGAACATTAAATTTGTCTTGATTTATGAAGAAATTGCAATTTATGATATCTGTAACCACTTTCTGGAGCAGTGAAGATGGCAAGTGAAGTTGAGGCCACAATCATGATGTCATCTAAATGAACACTGACAAGCCTTGTGTCCTGAGACTGTTAACCCTTTCAGGGTCCACAGGCCCTCTCAGAGAATTGTTCTCAGGGTCCCCCAAATTTCAAAAAAAAAAAAAAAAATATTTTTTCTTATGAAAAGATAGAGAATCTTTTCCCGATCATAATGACACCAAAAGTATGAAATTTGATGGAAAACTTACGGAATTATGCTCTTGCGAAGTCAGCGGTCTAGACGGTGTTTACGCATCGGCATTTTTG